ATTCTAACAGCAGAATATGGCAAAGGTGATGCTATCATTCACGTGATTGTGTTACATCATAACAAAAAAGTGAATGGATTTTGCAGATGTAGTTAAGGACCACAGTCCCTAATTAGTTGATTTTGAGTTAATCAAAGGCAGTATTGTCATGGGTGGGCTAACCTAAAAGAGAGCCTGGAAGTCAGAGATTCTCTCTCTCTGGCACTGGCTATAAGAATCAAGCTGCCATGAATTCTACAGCTTCAAGAAAATTAATTCTGCCACCAACCAAAGGGGGTTAGATGCAGATCCTTCCCCAGTCAAGCTGAAACAGGAGGGAAGGAGGCAAGGCACACTGTTTGAAAGAATGACATAGCCCGAGGACACAACAGAAACTGATCAGACTCAAATGGGTCCAAGATGCCAGACGAGTCAACTTCAACTAGACTTTGATCTTCACCAAGGGAACATTTCATGAAAAGATGGGCACAATAAAGGACAGAAAAGGCATGGACCTGAAAAAAGCACAAGATACTGAGAAGAGGTGGCGAGAATACACAGAAGAACTACACAAAAGAGATCTTAATGACCAAATAACCACAATAATGTGATCACTCATCTAGAGCCAGACATCCTGGAGTGCGAAGTCAAGTGGTCCTTAGGAAGCAGCATTACAAACAAAGCTAGTGGAGGTGATGGAATTCCAGCTGAGCTATTTCAAATCCTAAAAGATGATGCCGTTAAAGTGCTGCACTCAATATGCCAGCAAATTTGGAAAACTCAGCAGCAGTCACAGGATTGGAAAAGGTCAGTTTTCACTCTAATTCCAAAGAAAGGCAATGCCAGAGAATGCTCAGACTACCGCACAATTGCACTCATCTCACATGCTAGCAAAGTAATGCTCAAAATTCTCCAAGCTAAGCTTCAACAATATGTGAGCCAGGAACTTCCAGACATTCAAGCTGGGTTTAGAAAAGGCATGGGGAAGGAAATGGCAACCCACTTCAGTACACTTGCCTGGAAAATCCCATGGACAAAGAAGCCTGGTAGGCTACAATCCATGGGATCAAAAAGAGTCGGACACAACTGAGTGACTTCACTTCATTTTAGAAAAGGCAAAGGAACCAGAGATCAAATTGCCAACATCCACTGGGTCATAAAAAAAAGCAAGAGAGTTCCAGAAAAACATCTACTTTTGCTTCATTGACTACACTAAAGCCTTTGTGTGGATCACAACAAACTGTGGAAAATTATTTAAGAGATGGGAATACCAGACCACCTTACCTGCCTCCTAAGAAATCTGTATGCAGGACAAGCAGCAACAGTTAGAACCAGACTTAAAACAATGGACTGGTTCCAAATTGGGAAAGGAACACATCAAGCATGTATATTGTCACCTTGCTTATTTAACTTCTAGAGTTACAGAAGGGTAAAACTTCTAGAGTTTCACAGAGTACATCATGCAAAATACCAGGTTGGATGAAGCACAGGCTGGAATCAAGATTGCCAGGAGAAATATCAATAAGCTCAGATATGCAGATGACACCACCCGTATGGCAGAGAGCAGAGAGGAACTAAAGAACCTTTTAATGAAGGTGAAAGAGGAGAGTGAAAAAATTGGCTTAATACCTAACATTCAAAGAGTGAAAATCATGGCATCTGGTCCCATCATTTCACAGCAAATAGATGGGGAAACAGTGACAGAATTTATTTTCTTGGGCTCCAAAATCACTGCAGATGGTGACTGCAGCCATGAAATTAAAAGACACTTGGTCCTTGGAAGAAAAGCTATGACAAACCTAGACAGCATATTAAAAAGCTGAGACATTTCTTTGCCAACAAAGGTCCATCTAGTCAAAGCTATGATTTTCCAATAGTCATGTATGGATGTGAGAGTTGGACCATTAAGAAGGCTAAGTGCCCAAGAATTGATGCTTTTGAACTGTGGTGTTAGAGAAGACTCTTAAAAGTCCCTTGGACTGTAAGGAGATCCAACCAGTCAATCCTAAAGGGAATCAGTCCTGAATATTCACTGGAAGGACTGATGCTGAAGCTGAAGCTCTAATACTTTGGCCACCTGATGTGAAGAACTGACTCATTGGAAAAGACCCTGATGCTGGAAAAGATTGAAGGCAGGAGAAAAAGGGGATGACAGAGGATGCGATGGTTGGATAGCATCACCGACTCAATGGAGTTGAGTTTGCGCAAGCTCCAGAAGATGGTGAAGGACAGGGAAGCCTGGCGTGCTCAGCGCTGAGCAACTGAACTAAACTGAAAATATTAGAAGCATAAAAAGCAACTTATGTGCTGCTGCTGCTACTGCTGCTAAGTCGCTTCAGTCGTGTCCAACTCTGTGCGACCCCATAGACGGCAGCCCACCAGGCTCCCCCGTCCCTGGGATTCTCCAGGCAAGAACACTGGAGTGGGCTGCCATTTCCTTCTCCAGTGCATGAAAGTGAAAAGTGAAAGGGCTGCCATTTCCTTCTCCAGTGCATGCTCAGTCATGTCCGACTCTTAGCGACCTCATGGGCTGCAGCCTACCAGGGCCCTCCGTCCATGGGACTTCCTAGGCAAGAATACTGGAGTTGGTTGCCATTGCCTTCTCCAACTTATGTGCAATTATGCTTTTAATGAATTGCCTTAATTGAAAAAAATGAAATTATAAAAATATTGAAACTACTTTCGAAAAACCAAGACACACAGAACCTGGTTTACCTTAAATAATAGGTAAAATGTATATCTGTATCTAATAATCACATTGTACACTTCAAACTTAACATATATGGCATTAATATCTCAAAAAAAGGTGAAAAAGTAAATTGCTAAAATTAAAGAGATATGGAATCATCTCTAAAAATATGTAAGAAATAAATATTGCCTAGGATATCCTTTTATTTCTCTGAGAATGCTGGCTGCTCTCCTAAGTGGCGACTCAAAAACATGCACAACATGACAACTGAGAGTTAAGTTTTACTTGAGGAAGAATCAGGACTGCAGCCCAGGAGACAGCACCTCAGATAGCTCTGAGAAACTGCTCCAGAGAGGCAGCAGGAGGAGGTCACTCTATGTGATTCTGGTGAAAGGGGAGTTCAATGCAATCAAGCACTTAACTTACAAAAGGTTTTCTGCTAGGAGCTGATGTCACTATGAAGGATTTAATGCTTTTCTAGATATGAGAAGATGCAAGGATTGGGATCGTAAAATAAGTTCCTGAAAATATCTACCTACCTAAAAACCTGTTCCACCAGTTTCCCTGGAGCACACACTGCCTCACTTTCCACCCTTAACTCCATTCAGGGTGTGCTGAAGTCAGCTGCTAGAGCAGCACAGGATTTAATATCGACAAAGGCAGGTGGCAAATACCGTTAGTGAGCGCCAATTTGTAGTTGACATAAGGACAGAGGCAGGAATGTTAAGTGGGTAAATTATGGGGCAAGAAGGGAGGGAAGGGGGTCTAGCTAGAAGTGACTCCTGACTTTTGCCTGGTCTCCCTTCCAGTAAAGGATTAATATTACTCAATGACCCAGTAGCCCATTGACCTGCCATTGTTTCCATTACCCTCAAGAAGTGGTGACTGACAAAGGAGAGGGCCCTAAAGCAGGGTGAACTGGAGGCAAATTCCTTCCAAAAGCAATGAGGCTTTTATTTCCTTTCTGTCACAGGAATTATCTTTCTGATTGTGTCACTGGGTGTGGATCTCAAAGTCTACCCAATTCCCTAATCTCACCACAACCTGATGACAACAGTTTATGAGCTTTCCAGGAAAAAAGGAGTATGTTACGGCTGTATATTGTCACCCTGCTTATTTAACTTATATGCAGAGTACATCATGAGAAACGCTGGGCTGGAAGAAGCACAAGCTGGAATCAAGATTGCCGGGAGAAATATCAATAACTTCAGATATGCAGAGGACACCATCCTTATGGCAGAAAGTGAAGAGGAACTAAAAAGCCTCTTGATGAAAGTGAAAGAGGAGAGTGAAAAAGTTGGCTTAAAGCTGAACATTCAGAAAACTAAGATCATGGCATCTGATGCCATCACTTCATGGCAAATAAATGGGGAAACAGTGGAAACAGTGTCAGACTTTATTTTTTGGGGCTCCAAAATCACTGCAGGTGATGACTGCAGCCATGAAATTAAAAGACGCTTATTCCTTGGAAGGAAAGTTATGACCAACCTAGACAACATATTGAAAAGCAGAGACATTACTTTGCCAACAAAGGTCCATCTAGTCAAGGCTATGGTTTTTCCAGTGGTCATGTATGGATGTGAGAGTTGGACTGTGAAGAAAGCTGAGAGCCAAAAAATGGATGCTTTTGAACTGTGGTGTTGGAGAAGACTCTTGAGAGTCCCTTGGACTGCAAGGAGATCCAATCAGTCCATCCTAAAGGAGATCAGTCCTGGGTGTTCAGTGGAAGGACTGATGCTCAAGCTGAAACTCCCAATACCTTGGCCACCTGATGCGAAGAGTTTACTCATTGGAAAAGACCCTGATGTTGGGAGGGATTGGGGGCAGGAGGAGAAGGGGACGACAGAGTATGAGACGGTTGGATGGCATCACCAACTCGATGGACATGGTTTGGGTGGACTCCGGGAGTTGGTGATGGGCAGGGAGGCCTGGCATGCTGCGATTCATGGGGTCGCAAAGAGTCGGACACGACTGAGCGACTGAACTAAACAAGACAGTTTGGAGTTTGGGGATGAAGGGTATTCCTTTGTCCTCTCAAGCATTGGAGAGAGGAAGAAAGAGAAATAGAAAGACAGGAAAAAGAGACGTATCCCAGCTTTCCAGGTTCTCACTGCCCGTCCCTAGCCAGGTCTAGTTGGGCTCTTAAGAGTTTGTGACCCGAGTCTGCATGGCTCAAGGAGTCCTTACATCCGACAGCAGCCCTGCCTGAGGCAGGTAGTACGCGGACGCTGAGCGGTGAGACAGAAGGCGGCCGCCAGAGGGCGCGAGCGCTCAAGTTCACGCGCGATGGCGTCGACACGACCAGGAAGGAAAGGTGGTCGGCCTCCGAGAGATGGATGGGGCCCGGGAGCCCGCAGGGACAGCTCGGGCCCGCGTCGCACGGGCGCTGCGGGCCTCCGCGCACTGCGCGCCCACCCTTCCGCGCTCACCCGCCGGAGGGCCCCACCCTATCTGCGCTCGCAGGGTGACCTCCACGCCCGGGCGGGGTCGTAGGGCGTTCTCCGCTTCGCTCGCTCCCCGCGGCCCTAAACCGGCTCCGAGCCGGAGGCCTGCGGGGAGGCGGAGGCCGAGTCTTCCCAGAGCTAACTCCCGGACGGCCAGGCCAGGGGGCAACCCGCAGGCGGACATCGCGCTCCCGCAACCCGCAGCCTCGTAACAATGGCCCGAGGGGCTGCGGACGCGGCTGCGGTCGCGGAGGGGCAGGGGCACCCGGGCGCTGGAAGCCCCGCCCCTCGGCCGGCTCCCTGACAACGCGGGCCCGGCCGCGCCGCCTGCTCCCCGCCCCTCGGCGCCCCGCACCAGGCGGGGCCGCGGCCAGAGCGCCACCGCCGCTGCAGGCGCAGCCGCTGCTCTGCAAAGAGGGGCCCGGGGCTGGGTCGGGGCCGGGCCGGGGCGCCCGCCCTCCCACCTTCTCCCGCCGCTATGAGCCAGGGAAGTCAGGGGGACTGGGCCCCCCTCGACCCTACCCCCGGACCCCCAGCGCCCCCCAACCCTTTCGTGCACGAGTTACATCTCTCCCGCCTCCAGAGGGTTAAGGTAAGGTGTGGGCGGGGGGCGCCCGGAGGACTCGCGCGGATAGAAAAAGGAGGCCTTTTAGAGCCTTGACGCAGATGGGGATGGAGATCCAGGAAGGAGGTGGGTGAGAGGCTAGCCGGGCGGGGAGTCCGGGGTGCGCACGTGGGGGCGGCGGGGGTGGTGAAGGAGCCCTGGAGAGGACGCGGTCTGGGCGATAGGCAAGCTGAAGGTGTGTGAGAATGGACTAGGTGAGCCTGGAGGACTGCAGGGGACCCAGGGGTGGGGGAGATGGAGCACCCTGGAGACTGCGGATTACATCCTGCGGATGCAGATGGGCTCGAAGGGAGTTGGAGGCTACGAAGAGCGGGGGTGGGGGCAGAGGCGTGCTGAGTGCTTCTCCGAGGCTCTGACTTGGAAGAGGGTGCTGGGCCCGGAACCTGCACCCCCTGCCGTTTCAGCACCCCCCCCCCACTCGGCTCTACCCTCTCCTCCACGCGCACTGCAGCACCTCCTGGTGGGGGCGGGGAGGGCAGTAAAGAAGGGGGTTGGCTACAGGAAGTGGAGGGCCGCGCGGGCCTGGGGGAGCGGCGGGATGGTGTGAGAAGGGAGTGTCCAAGGTTTCCGTTGCTTCATCTCCCCCGAGGTCGGCTCCTGGAGCTCGGTTTGTTTACCTGCACGTTCCCCAGGGCAGCCCCTCCAGTCACCCTGGCAACCCCTGCCATGTGGAGTAAGGCCGAACTCTCTTTCTCCCCCCAGTTCCTGGAACTGGGGGCGTGCGGCTGGGCAGAACTAGAGACTGGCCTGGGTCTGAAAAGTGGACCTCTCTCTGTTTTCCGGTCTCTACCTCCCAGGCCCACGGTGAAAAGGACTCTGCACCTGGTTTCTGCTGCACGTGGGACCTATTTATGGACGAGGGTGGGGGGAGGAGGATCTGTCTCCAGCCTACTCTACACCAGACATAGTGCTGGGCCCTTTGGCACTGGTTATTCTTGACTCCTCATAACAGCCTTTTAATTTTGTAGGTGTGGTGGGGCCAACTGAGAGACATGAAAGTGAGGCCCCTGATCCTATTAACCTTTTGTCCTCTTCCGCTTATTGGTATCTTCGACCCACCTTGGGTTCCAGTCCGATCTCCTGTTCCCACACTACTCATCTTCTGATCCACAGGGGTGGGGTGATGGCCCTCTGCTCCTGGGTCCATCCTCGTGGGGGAGGGAAGCCTCTAAGGAGTGTCTCACAGCCCTGAAGTGGCTCTTCTCTCCCACCCTCTGCAGTTCTGCCTCCTGGGGGTACTGCTGGCCCCCATCCGAGTGCTTCTGGCCTTTATCGTCCTCTTTCTCCTCTGGCCCTTTGCCTGGCTGCAAGTCGCTGGTCTTACTGAGGAGCAGCTTCGGGAGCCAATTACCGGATGGAGGAAGTAAGTGAGGGATCAGCCCTCGGAGACCCAATTTCTCCTTTCTCTTCCCTGCTATCCATTCTGCTCCCTCTTTGAGAAGAGGATAAGGGAGGAGGGTTCTGAAGTTCTCCTACCCAGCCTGGGTAGGTGAGATGAGTCAGCCAAGCTCAGACCCTGGTACCCAGGACCTTAACTCTAAATGAAGCATGCGGATATGTCCCCGACTAACGAGAGACTTTAGGCTCTTGGCCAGGTAATAGAGGGCAGAAGAAGGGCACCTGCTTTCCTGGGTGTCTGATCTTGGGGATGAGTGGCGGTCAGGATAGCTGCCTCCACTGATGCCCAGCTTTGCCCTGCAGGACTGTGTGCCACCATGGGGTGCTGGGCCTCAGCCGCCTGCTCTTTTTCCTGCTGGGTTTCCTCCGGATTCGAGTTCGGGGCCAGCGGGCCTCTCGCCTTCAAGCCCCCGTCCTGGTGGCCGCCCCTCACTCTACTTTCTTTGACCCCATTGTTCTGCTGCCCTGTGACCTGCCCAAGGTTGTGTCTCGAGCTGAGAACCTTTCCGTTCCCGTCATTGGAGGTGAGAGATTAAGAGGAGTGAAGGGGAGAGATGGCTATTCTGGGCAGAGACAGACTCTGGAGAGAGCTGGTCCCAGGTGGAGAAGGGGGAAGTTAGAAGCAATATCGACTGATGCTGGCAAATGAAATGCAAATTAATATTATTTGTGAAGCAGCCTATTAGATTCTGAGCTCTGTTCTTAGAAGGGAGCAGGGAGCTCTGATATCAGTGCCCCTGGGGAAGAACCAAGTGACTCCTTGTCTTCTCTCTTTACCCCAGCCCTTCTTCGCTTCAACCAAGCCATCCTAGTGTCCAGGCATGACCCAGCCTCTCGGCGCAGAGTGGTGGAAGAAGTCCGAAGGCGGGCTACCTCCGGAGGCAAGTGGCCTCAGGTGGGTCAAAGGTTGGAGGACCTCCTCATATTTTATGTGCTCCTGAAGAGGCTTCTCTTGCCTCTTCTCCCCTTCCACCCACCTCATTCTGGTCCCTTGATTCCGCCCCCCCCCCAGGTACTGTTCTTTCCTGAGGGTACCTGTTCCAACAAGAAGGCTCTGCTGAAATTCAAACCAGGTGAATAAAGCAGCAGTAGATGGGAGGGCTGTAGGAAAGGAGCCCCATATATGGAGAGGGACTCTGGATTAACCCAAGAAAAGTGGCGGGGAGGGGGAGGGAGGGAGATAGAGAACCTCCTAGCTGACACTGGAAAGTCTCCAGGAGTCAGAGGAAATTACAAATGAAATGGAGCACAGCCAGATTTCCTTGTGGAGCTGATCCAGACCCCTGTACTCCATGCCCTCCAGTGCCTCCATGCACTAACCTCTGCCTTGGGGGTGGGGGTGGAAATGGGATTTAGGAGCCTTCATCGCGGGGGTGCCTGTGCAGCCTGTCCTCATCCGCTACCCCAACAGTCTGGTAAGTCGCCGTCTGGGGGAGGGAGGCTCAAGTCCACCCTGCATGCGAGTCAGTGAAAACTGCCTGTGCTGCCACGAGATATGTGTGTGGAGGTAGGGCTGGGTCGGCGCGCGGGCCTCTGCTCACAGAGGATTAGTCAGTTCAGGGAAGAAAAGTAATGCTTTTCTCCTCTCATCTCTGCTTCTCCCACAGGACACTACCAGCTGGGCTTGGAGGGGCCCTGGAGTGTGAGTAATGGTATTCCTGGGGGTGAGGGTAGGGAGTGGGGACCACCAGAATTCATGGCCTGTCTTCTACCCTCCAGACAAGGTGAATTGCCCTTGTTCATCCTGGAACTGAGAGAACTCTAGAGAAGGGGCTGCCCATGTCCCTTTGTTTTGTTCTGATCTCCTGAGATATTATCAGAAAGTGCCCTCAGCTATCCCTGCTAATCATTCCTGCTGTGGTCATGGTGCCTTCTGACTCACTTTGCAACCTTTTCTCTCTCGGTTATCCACAGCACCAGGCTTGCTCCTTCTCGTGGTTCCTCAAACCCCTCACCTATACTTCTTTCTCTGGCAGAGCCCTGCAGTGCTGTCTTATCCCACCTACCACCTTTCTGGCCCTTCTGTCTCCCAGCTACGTACTCATCCAGCTGACTACAGCTAGTAGCTGATTTTTATATCAGTGGGCAGAACTTTGCCACTCCCATCCTTGGGCTGTGGGGGTACCCATAGTTAGAGATTGGTGAGCATCTGAGGTCTCTTTTCTCTTAGACTCAAAGTCCTCTGGCTAACAGCCTCCCAGCCCTGCAGCATCGTGGATGTGGAGGTATGACTCCCGCGGCGGGGGGTAGGAGAGCAGCTATCGGCTGAGCTGGGGGGGTCTTCAGGGGAAGAGGGTGGGAGTGGTCGCCCCTGACTTTGAAGTCCTGATGAGAAGCCTGTGTCTGTGTGTGTTTCAGTTCCTACCTGTATACCGCCCCAGCCCGGAGGAGAGCAGGGACCCCACCCTCTATGCCAACAATGTCCAGAGGGTCATGGCACAGTGAGTGTCCCACAGGGTGTTTCCTAAAAGCAGATATACAGGGCAAAGGAACCACAGGAGTGGGGAGGAGCGCTGAGTGAGGTTTCGAAGCAAAACTTGGCAGGGGAGGCAGGCGGTCGGGGGGAAGGGCTATTGGATAGCTAATGTGTGAGCGATAGGAGAGGGAAAGGGGCCTGATCTCCTCTCCCCGGTCAGCCGGCCAGAATCAGTGATGAACTGAATGTGATATGTGAACACAATCAGATGTATCTTCTAACTCATTCCCCCTGCATCCCATCCCTCTTCATCCTCTAGGGCCCTGGGCATTCCAGCCACAGAGTGTGAGTTTGTAGAGAGCTTGCCCGTGATTGTGGTGGGCCGGCTGAAGGTGGCCTTGGAGCCACAGCTCTGGGAACTGGGCAGAGTGCTTCAGAAGGCTGGGTAAGTGACCTTGGAGATGAGGGTATGGGGAAGAGGAAAAGGGAAAATGGGTAGGAGGAAGAAAAGTCCAAAAAAAAAAAAGTAGGAAGATGAGAAGAATGTTTTGAAAGATAATGGAGTAAAAGGAAGGAGGAAAAAAAAGATAAGTAAGAACCCCAATGGCAAAGGTAGGAATGGCTTTCCAGGGACTGTGAGTCAGAGTACCTCTTAGAAAAATACCAGATGTACCTGTGCTGGAAGGATTCTTGGGGCTGGGGCCAAGGTGCTGGTAGGTGGTGTTTCCGGAAGAAAACTGAGTCAGCACTGCACCTTCGACGACATTCCCTTG